CTTTAATAACTTAACGGGGTGGGAAGGGTAGATATGGATATGATGACCACACGATAACATCACGTGTAGCCCCTCACTAAGGAGTGATTATCGGATATTGTGTGGGGTGATCCATATTATTAATAAACCTAGGACCCCCCTTCCCTTTGTTTTCATTGTTTCCTTTAAATCTTTTTTTAACCATTTCTTTTAAGAAAATCAACTCTTTTAGTTTCTTTTTCTTACTTTTGTTTATTTGTAACCATTACGTGAAAATCCCCTCTTATTTGAAGCCTTTTATTTGCCTATGTGTTATTTGCACTAAAGTCACAAAAAATTGCTTGGTCGGGAACCACACTAGTGGATCCTGAGGGGTTCCTAACACCTTCCCCTCGGGATAATTTCAAGCCCTTACCCAAATCTTTTGTTTTCTAAATTAAACCTTTCTTAGTTTCCTAATGCACTTTAATCATTAGGTGGAGACTCTTCAATTCAAACCCAATTCACAAAAGGGAACGAGTTGTCCTCCCAAATGTCATAAACCCGATGTCGCGAGAAAAAGGGGGCGCGACACCTCTCACAGCCCCGTTGGAGTACCGCATGACAGCTTTGGAGCAGGAGATGGCTGGGTTGCATACCTCAGTCACTGATTTGGGGGCCTGCGTAGATGTGGTAGCTGACCGACAGGTGAAGTCGCAGAAGAAATTCTTAGGCTGGCTGAGAGCTTTGGGTCGTGCTTGCAATGTGAGCCCAGACACCGTCTCCGATTAGGAGTGATCTTTCAGGGAAGTTCCTTTACCTCACTGTTCTTTAATTTTTTATGCCATGAGGACATGTCTACATTTTAAGTGTGGGGTGGGGGATACTTCAATGTATGTATATATGTTGGCTGTTTGAATTCTTTTTGTGTTTTGCTTTAATTGTTTTTGGTGTTTTGAGTAATAGTCTCATTAGGTAAGTTAAAGTAGGTAAGTGACTTGTCCCGACGACGGATCTCTTTCGACGGGATTCTTGAGGGACTAAGTCGAGAAAAAAAAAACAAAAAGGGAATATGGAGACTCTTCCTAATTACGGATCCTTTAGACAATTTTCTTGAGGGAAGTAAGTGTAGAGAAAAGACCAAAAATATTTTTTTTATTTTTAGGTAGTGTAATAACTCCCCCTTGGTTTTTCTTTGGGCCACGGTTCTTTTCCAAGGGTTTAGCTTGAATCGGGTGTAGGTAGTTTTTATTTATTTTGTTTGTTTGTTTTAGTTAGCATCGATGGGCTAAGAGCTGAAATAGTAAGAGAATCCCTTGGCGTTGGTACACCTGAACACAATCGATACTAGAGTGTAACGCCTAGTCTCAATGGTTGAATCTTGCTAAAATGCCTTAAAGTTGTATGTTTGTATCTAACTAACACTCAAAAGAGAATGTCTTGATAAATCAATCCGGAGTGAGTCATGTGCCATGTGTGTGTGTGAGCTATAATGTATTCTATGCTTTACATTTGATGCATAGAACTTGCCCTGTGTGTTTGCAAAGCAAAATAGTAGCTTTATTCAGTCTTTAAAGTGACATAGGAATTTCTTTGTTAAGCCAGATATATATAACATAAACCCACCTGAATGTAATACATCTTAGTTAACCATGTTGAGCCTATAAGCCTGTTTCTTTGGCAACCACATTGCGAACCTTAACCAATTATTTGAATAGCCTTTTGTTTGAACCCTTTTACCTCCCATAAGCACGTGAATGGTATTGAAATTATGCAAAAGCAAAGGTGTGGGGTGATGGTTTGGTTTTTGAGTGGAACCATCGAAGTAGAGAAAAGGTGCAGAGTTTTGAAGATTAAAAGGATAAGAACCACACAAAAAAGGGAAAAATGAGTAAATGTAGCAATCGATAAGTGGTGGTTTGTTACAATTGCACCTAATGGATGAGGATGTTGTAAATAAAAAGTGGTGGAGTGTTTGGTTGACATAAGTATGGTTTTGAAAGTTAATATAATTGTATTAAAAGTGCCTAGGGAGGTTAGTCACTATATCCAAATATATCCTACCCGTCCTTTAGCCTACATTACAACCAAGTGAAGTCCTATTTCTTAGACTGAGTGGGCTCGACTAGTAGAGTAGTACATTATGGGCAAGCCTATGGTGCATCTTTGTGGCATGCGAATGTTCTTTTGGATAGTGAGCGAATTTTGTCCATTTGAGTTCCTAAGTGTTTTAATCATATTATGCGGAACTATTCTCTTGTGTGATGTGAGGGCATGTAATTCATAAAGGAAAGGTAAGTCTTGACTCTTGTATAGAGTATTTTGAGTAAGTGCGAATGTTGCATGGTATGAGAGATTCGACTTTTGAGGCAAAGGTTGTTCACTACTAGATGCAACTTTGGTAAATTGTTCAAGGTGTGAGTCGTTAAGGGAAAAGCTTAGGGAAGGAACTTTGATAGAGTGTGGTGGATTTCTAGAGGACTATCAAAGATTTAAGTGTGGGGTGTTGATATTAGGCTATAGAGATGACATTTACACATTAATATTACCATGCTTTATTGTTGTTTTATAGGCAAATTGATAACAAAATGCTCTAAATGGTGTTCTTTTGCTTCGCAGGGAATATTCTAAGTGAGGAAGCACTACAGAGTGTGTTGGAGGCAATAATGTGAAGAAAACGCCCAAATCAAGAAGTACCTAAGCACAAAGAAACAAAAATGGACTGAGTGAAATTCACCACGACCGCGGTGGAACTGCGGTAGATCAAGTGTTCGAGGCAGAATGTTCAGCATTCACCTCGGTCGAGCCGCGACCACGGTGAACTGTTCACGTGCCATAAAGTTTGGGGACCAAAGTGTAAATCGGGGAAAATTTGTTCCAAACCCTTATAAACTTTAGAAGCTCGCCCAAGACATGTTTAAGCTTGATTTTAGACTACTTTGGAGGTAAGAACAAGTGTGAGAAGAGTAACAAAACATTAGAATTCTTCTATCTTCTCTTGATTATTGCAATTACCCATTATGAATAATTTAGTAGTTTTATCTTGTTTTGTCATGAGTAATTAATTTCCTAGTCTAGGATTTTGATGGAACCTATTGAAGGATAAACTTCTTGTTATGTTAATATAGTTTGCCTAGTTTAATCTCTATTTGTTCAACTATGTTCTTGTTGTAGTTAATTGACAGGATCCTCAATTAGCTGTGCCTATTTAGTGTGCATAACTCGGGAGAGAGTGCATACTTAGGTAATTGTTGAACAACACCACTCCCAACGTATATGAGGGATCAATAATTAAGGGTTTAAAGGTGGGATTAGGGATAACGAAGCCTTGGGTGTAATCTAAAGTGAGCTGTAATAAATAAAGCTAGCTAGCGTAACTCGGGAGAGTGCATCTAGTAAATTGTCGTGATTACTCAGGAGAGATTTATGGTAATAAGAGTGCTCATGATTGATAGAGATTATTGGGTGAATCTATGTGAAACATAACCGGAAGGGATTCCATCAATAGAGGAAATCATAACCTTAGAACCTTCTCTTAATTGTTTACAACTCAATCATAGTTAGTTTTTAGTTGCCTATTTACATTCATTCGTAGTTAGTAGAAATACCATCAACTGTTATTTACAACGTTTGGGAAGTTGATTCCGTAGAATTTAGTAAGTATAACAAGAGTAATTGATAGGTTAATTCCTTGTGGGTTCGACTCTGGGCTAAATACTCAAATTATATTTGCAACGTCCGCGTGTCCTTTTATAAGGAATAGTTGGGCGTGATCACGCAACGATATAGCGCTTGGGCTGTAGGAGCCCCTCCGGAGTCTGCACACCCCAGTGAGCGCAGTCGACTATATATATATATATGGATCGGGCTGCACGCTGCAACGATATATGGATCGAGCTGCACGCCGTAGTGGATACTATATGGTACCTATTGAGTGTGAGTGCTGATTAGTAAGAGTTGAGTCACGAGTGACTGAGAGGCTTGCCCGAGGGGCTATAGATATACATGTACATGAGTGATGCTTTGCCTGAGGGACCTGTTTATGAACTTACTGTTTTTCACTCTTCCTTAAAGTGAGTTTTTATCGAATATGTTGATTTAATTACTGCTTTCACTCATCTTTAGATCGAGCCTCTATTGAAAATGTTGAGCAAACGCTTTAAACAACTTTCATTCAAACTGAAGTTTTTAAGTTATGAAATGGGTATAAATTTTTGTTTTGCCCGAAGGGCTGTATACGAACTATGTTTTTGCCCGAGGGGCCGATTGTGGTTTTCATCTGTTTTATTATAAATGGTATTGAACCCCTACTGAAACTGTTGGAAAACATTTTCAAATGATTTTTACCAAAAGATGGATTTTAAATGAGACGATTGACTCGTATTCTTATTTGAAAGCCTGTTGTGCTTAATGAGTTTATCCTAAATGTGGATTCACCGTTTTCCTACTGCTCAGTCTTTATTTACTCTTATTACATACTGGGTTGGAGTACTCACATTACTCCCTGCACCTCGTGTGCAGATTCAGGTATTTTGGAACCTGGTAGCGATTGTTGATTGCTCAGACGCGGAGTCATCGGAGTTAGTACGGTGGCTGCACGACGTTCGCAGCACTGCTTCCTTCCTCTCATTTTCATTATTGTATTTAGTACATGTTTTTCTTGACCCTTGCTGTATTCGGACCTTGATAGATGCTCATGACTAGTGACACCCCGATGTCGGGCTTGTGTAATTATTCCGCACTTTTCTTTCAAATTTTCATTATGAGATTATTGGTTTATAAATAGTATAAAAACAACTTTTATTGGATAATGGTTGATTCGGGAATTGTGTCGGCTAGCCTAATTTCATGATAGACGTCATCACGACCGAGTCGGTTTTGGGTCGTGACAACAAGGCAAATTACCCAACATACAGATGTTAGAACAGTTGCCAACTTTCAGTTAAGAAATTAGCGGACATCGTGAAAATCTAGGTTCTTTTATATATCCTCAAACTTTCCAAAGATGGAAACTAACTTAAATAAAAATAGAAAGAAGAAGACTAAATAATTGGATCATTTTAAAGAAAAAAAAAGAAAGTAAGAAAAGAAAACTAGAAGCAATGGTGCTCGAGAAAAGTCTACCAATGACTGCAGGAGATTCAGAATGCAGTTATGCCAATAACTCAATCCTCCAGGTTGTTTTTTCTATTGCAAAGAAAAGAAAAAAGTTGTTTTGAAACTTGGTGAATGATATTCTTTCGTTAGTCTTTCCATCGATTCATGCTTGTTAAGATAAAGATTAATCGTTCAAAAGCTATGTAACTTATATTATACTCCCTCCGTTTCAATTTATGTGAACTCATTTGATTGGACACGGAGTTTAAGAAAAGAGAGAAGTTTTTGATCTTCTGGTGTAAAATGAGGCACATATATTTTGTGTAGCTATAAATCATTACATAGAGGTAAAATGTTTCTACAGAGGAAAATGGGTCATTTATTTTGACATAGACTAAAAGAGTTATAGATTCACGTAAATTGAAACGGATGGAGTAGATTAATATGCATCATTATAAAGGGAGTGTTTTGGTTAGTACTTTGTACTATAGATATTGCAATCCATAGTGGTTCTAATAAGAGTAGTTTCTAATTTGTCTGTTCCTGGGGCGTCCAACATAAATAAAGGAGGAACCATAAAATATATTATATTACATTATATCATGCATTTGCATCCTACTTCCTTTCTTTGCTACATGATCCACCACTTAAATGCACGTTATGTTCCCTGAAGTTGTGCCAAATCTTAGGGTCTTTCCTACCTCTTTTGAGTCGAGGACTATTTGAAACCCTGCAGTTTACGTGGGAGACTCCCGTCGATATCACTAGACTGTAATCCTTAATACTGAAACTTGTTGAATTTTAATCTTTCTTGAATTGATCTTTTCGACTTTGAATTTTCAGAGAACAGTGATAGTAAAGGCAAAACCTGTGTTAGAAGACACAGTAAAAAATATGTTCAAGAATGGTGACTTTCCAATGTGTTTCACAATGGCAGATTTGGGTTGTTCTTCAGGACCAAATACTCTTTTATCCATCAGCAATGTTATTGACATAGTTCATAATTTGTGCAAAGAAAAAAACAAGTATGATGAGCCACCAGAATTTCAAGTGTATTTGAATGATCTACCAGATAATGATTTCAACAGTGTGTTCAAATCAATTCCGTCATTTCTTGAGAATTTGAAAAAAGAGAAAGGAGATAAGTTTGGAAATAATTGTTACATAGCAGGAGTTCCTGGTTCTTTTTATGAAAGGCTTTTTCCTAGCAACAGCTTGAACTTTGTTCATTCCTCCTATAGCCTCCATTGGCTTTCTCAGGTGATTAATCTCTTGAAACACATATGTCACTAAATTCAGTTGCTAATTTTGTGTAATTTTTAACTTTTTCATAATAAACTGACATTTAGCAACTCCATCAATATTACTCAAATTAATTACCCACACAATAGCAAGAATTAAATACTAGTACCTTGTTTTCTAGGAGATTTAAGCCCAAAATATGCATGGTAGATTTTGACTCTAAACCTTATATATAGCAAAATTACCATTACGGTCTAACTCAATAGCACGTATTGTCCGTTTTGGCCAACTAAACATAGAATTTGTCTATTGGGATATATCATATCGAGCCCAAAATAATATGTAAACTTGTGCTATGTGTTATATAATACTTCACTTTAATTCTACTCCCTATCCGATGGGAGATTTTCTTGAAGTGTTATGTGCACCTTCTTAAGAAACTTGCTAGCCTTACCAGTCCTTCTCCTAATCTGTCATCATCAGTCTACCCTCTGTCATGGACTTGACACGCCATTATTGATCATATCAAGTCACATTAGAAAACTACGTAACTTTCATCCTCTTAAAATGAACAAACAATTACATCGATAATATAAGAGTAAAGTTAGCTTGGGTTGTGCGAACAAAATTTTAATTTGGTAACCGAAAAAAGAAGAAAATTACAGATAAATTGTTGAGTTACTCTTAATTAAAGATATGGTCCAAAATAAACATTATTACAAGTATTTTTGGGTGGCTGAGCCCAACAATTAGAATATATGGAAATCTTACATACTTTTTCTTTTTGGATCCTATATACACATTTTCCTCTTGTACACATTTTAAAAATGAATATTAGCAGGTTCCAAAAGGATTGGAGAGCAACAAGGGAAGTATATTTATATCAAAGTCAAGCCCTCCCCAAGTACTAGAAGCATATTTCAAACAATTTGAGAAGGATTTTTCAAGCTTTCTACACTTTCGTTCTCAAGAACTAATTAGTGGAGGGCATATGGTCCTTGTGTGTGTTGGTAGGAGCAGTCCAGATCCAAAAAGCTATGATTCTTGCTGTTTGATGGATTTGCTAACAAAGTCACTTCTTCATTTAGCAGCCGAGGTTATTCTCATGTACTTTAAACATCTGACATCTTCTTCTTTCCAGACGTGTTTGGCACAAAATAAGTTATTTTTCAGAAAAAAATTTCTTTTCTGGTGGTTATTTACCAGAAACTGAAGACATATTTCATCAAAAGGGAGAAAATGCAGAAGCCATTTTTTTTCGAAAAATAAGATTTCCATGAGAGTCAATTTTAGTTTTTGATTAGCTGAAATGGAAATATATTCCATAAAAGAGAGAAAATACCGAAGTCATTTTCCTTACAACCATTTATTAACTTTTAATTTCATATTACTTTCTTCAATGTACTAGCACTTAGACATTATTATTAATCACTACAACTCAAAAGTTTATCAACACAATCTTTCATTTGCTAATATTATTACGAATTATTGCTTAATACTTATTTACTTTTTGAAAATTATTTTCCAATCACTAGTCAATTAACACCAGGAAATACTTTTCAATGGAAAAATAATTTCCGTCATACCAAATACACTCTGCAGACTAACTTTATATTCAAATTTTAACACTTGTTGTTATTGAAGCAGGGCAAAATCAAAGAAGATGAAATTGATTCATTTAACATGCCTTCTTATACACCATATGAAGAAGAGATAAAGAAGATCATACAAATGGAGGGATCATTTACTCTTGAAAGACTTGAAGCCTTTGAGAGTGATATGGCTGCCATTGAGAACCCTAATGGCAAACATTTCGAGGATAGTGCCAAATTAGCAGTTAAGACTATAAGAGCTGTTACTGAGGTTATGTTGGCTTCTCATTTTGAAACCTCCATAATTGATAATCTATTCGAAATTTATATAAAGTATGTCACTGAATATTTATCAATGGGTAGACCGATAAAGTTCTTTAACATCAGTCTATGCCTGCAAAAAGTTTGAGACATAATAGGTAGCAGATACTTGATAGAATAGCCGATGTGCACGCGAGTTGATTCGGACATAGTTGTTAAAAAAAGAAAGATTTGAGAGGTCAATAGGCTCCCCTTTTTGGATTATTAATGTTTCCCTTGAAGGTAATCATAGGAAAGATGAATAAGTTAGTTTTGGGATACATCTTGAAATTTTATCTGAAGAATTTCTCCATATTGTGGAATTTTGTTTTCCAGGATAATTAAATTATTTGTCTTTATAAAAGTTAGTCTTGACTTTTGGTACAACAACAATTTGTAAATCGTAATGAAATAAGTTAAAAGAACATGTTTTTATAAATTTATACCAGATGTTTTTTAACGTTAACGTCAAAATCTCCTATCAAAATAAAAGGGAAGATAACTAAGAAAGATGGATACCTACAGTATCAATAATGAGACTAAAATTAGGCCAGACATATGAATCTATTTATTTATCTGCAATCAAATATAATCTGTTAAAATGCCATGCGAGCTGAGACGGAATCAACCATTGAAGCTCTCTAGAAGCTTATGTGAAAGAGAAGGAGACTGGAGATTGAAAAATGGAAACCATCTAATTATTCCATTAGTTTTGAATGTATTTATACAATTGTCTTAACCCACTACTTCTCACTAATCTAGAACTAACCAACTAACAAGTAAATACAATTGTTCATTAACTGATTGTCACCTAACTAACTGCTAACCACTAACTACCACGTGTGTCACTTCCAAATACACTATTGGATTAACGTCTCTCAACACTCCCCTCAAGATGGAGGGTGCAGAATGTTGAGAACTCCCAGCTTGCTAAGTAAATAAACATGTTGAACCTACCCCAAACATTTTGTCAGGAGATCTGCAAGCTTTTCCTTAGTATGTACATATGAAGTCTTCACTACTTTTGTTTTGATTTTGTCTCTGATTACGTAACAATCTATTTCTATATGTTTCGTTCTCTCGTGGAAGATGGGGTTAGTTGTAATTTGTGTAGCAGCCTTACTATCACCGAACACAGTCGTTATGCTATGTATGTTAACTCCCAACTCTTTAAACTGTCCATGCAACCACGTTAGCTCTGCTATAGCTGAAGTCATGCGTCTATATTATGCCTCAGCTGAGCTTCTAGAGACTGTTTGTTATTTTTTTCAAGGACTCCACAAACTTGACTATATACCATGTCACTGATCTCCTTGTGTTTGGACATGCTGCCCAGTCAGAATCATACCAGCATGTCAGATCTTGTGTGACTCCTGCCTTCAGCCAAATTCCTTGTCCTGGTGAACTCTTGAAGTATCTTACTAACCTTGTTGCAGCTTCTCAGTGAGACTTCTTGGGCATTTACATGAATTGACTCAAAGTCTGAACTGCATAATTGATGCCAAGACTTGTGACAGTCACATACATCAGTCTTCCTATCAGTCTCTGATGTGAATTAATGTCATGCAAGATTTCATCTCCTGTGACTCTAGTCATTTTGTCATATTGCATAGTTGTTAACTTCAAATTAGACTCCAAAGGTTTCTTGGTTGGTCTAGCTGAAGTTAATCCCATATCAGATATCAACTCTAGCGCATACTTTCTTTGGTTGAGAATCATCCCTGAACTTTATCTCAACACTTCTATGCCAAGGAAGTACCTCAGCTCACAAGATCTTTCATTTTGAATTTCTGATTCAACACTCTCTTTGCCTCACTGATCAGCTCAATGCTACTCTTTGTGATGACTAGATCATCAACATATACCAAGGCAATTACTATGTCATCAGATTTGTTTAGTGTGAACAATGAATAGTCATGGCTACTTTGAATGAATCCTACACCAACCAATGCATCTGTCAAATTTATGCTCCACTGTCTATATGCTTGCTTTAGTCCATACAAGGACTTAAGCAACCTACACACCTTTGACTCCCCTTATTTTCTAAACCCCTCATGCATGTCCATATAGACTTCCTCACATAGATCTCTTTGCAAGAATGCATTGTATACATCCATTTACCATAGAGTCTAACCTTTAGATACATCAAGTTCTATGACTAATCTTACAGTCTCCATCTTAACAACAGGTGAGAAGATACCATGATAATCAAGGCCTTTCTTTGACTGTAGTCTTTTGCTACAAGTCTGGCCTTAAACCTCTTAACTTCTCTATTAGCTTGGTACTTGATCTTGTATACCCATTTTGAGCCTATAGAATTCTTCTCTTTTGGAATGTCTACCACTTCCCATGTACCATTCTCCTATAGTGCCTTGATCTCCTACTTCATTACTTTTATCCACCTAGCATTTTTAGCTGCATCTCTGAAACATTTAGGTCCCACCAATATAGAGAATTTGGCAAGTCAGGCTTGATATGTTGGCTTGATGCTATCATAGGATAAGTGACTGGAGATGGGGTGTGATTGGTGCTTTGTTTGGTAATTATGTAATCCTTCGTCTAAATAGGTTGTTTGGAATCTCTTTAGGATTTCATGGTGGCTGGAGCATGAACTCCATCTGATGGAATGTGAACTTCATCAAAGGAAGTTGAATCCTCATTAAAGTCATCTCCCCCATAATGCTCCAGAACAAGGGAAGGACTTGATGCCAGATCAAATGAATCAAAATCCTGGGCAGTAGTGTTAGGGGAAGCTGTAGGGTTATCATTAGGCTAAGTAAATGTTGTTGAAGTATCATTGATGTTGGGAATATCCGGTGAATTTGGTGGCATGTAATATGGTGTATATGGTGAGTTTTGTGGTATTGCATGAGGTAAGGTTTGGTCTATGTTGGTAGTTCTAGGTGTAGGTTGTTTCTTTGAAGATGTAGTGGGAAAGGGAAATTCAATTTCTCTAAAAATGACATCTCTGCTGACAAGTAATTAGTGTGTTTTAAGGTCTAGGAGGATGTAGCCCTTTTGTAACTCTTAGTAACCCATAAGAGCAACTGGCATTGCTCTTTCTGCAAACTTTTCACCTTTGGGAACTATGGCTGCAAAGCACAAATAACAAAATATCCTTAGGTGATTCAATGTTGCATGCTTCTTGTATAGTAGTTTATAAGGACTTTTCTTAGCACTCACAGTAGAATGTAGTATGTTCATGAGATAGACTGCAGTCTTGATACACATACCCCAGTATCTAATAGGCACCTTGGATTGGAACCTAAGTGCCCTGGCTATATTTAATATATGCCTATATTTTCTCTTAACCACCCCATTCTGCTGAGGGGTATGAACACAGCTGCTCTGATGAAGTATGACTAAATCTTGAAGTACTGCACTGTGAGTTAAAGAACTCAGTGCTATTGTTTGTCCTAAAAATCTTTACCATAACACCAAACTGTTTATGTACCATGGACAAGAATGACTTAATAGCCACAACAGCTTTAGACTTAAGTTTCAACAAAGAAGCCCATGTATACCTACTGTGACCATCCACAATAGTCAAAAAATAATGCTTGTTGTCAAAAGTAGCAGTTTTATAGTGGCCCCAAAGATCCATATGTACAATGTGAAAATGTGCATCAGCTCTAGAAATACTAGGAAACATCAATCTAGCTTACTTTGCCAAAGGAAAAAATTGTGCACTTATTCAATTGTGAACTATTTACATGATTATGCAACAACTTCATTACTAGTGTAGAAGGGTGTCCAAGTCTGTTGTGCCATAAGTTGCTGTCCTGTCTATGAATTGTTGCTATTATTGGGTATTGTGTGCCCTTTTTACCAATATATCCATCCTTGTATATGTACAGATCTCCTCTTTGCCTACCAATCCCCTTCACCCTGCCATTCCAAATCTCCTGAAAGACACAGAAGTCAGGAAAAAAATTGACTGAGCATGATAATTTTTTGGTCAGCTTGGATACTGACAGCAAGTTAAACATGAAAGTAGGGACAACCAACACATTGCTCACAGTTGTATTGATAAACAAGGATGCATAGCTAGTATGAGTAATATCTGCCCTATCCCTTGCGGGTAAATGTACTTTACTATTACCAGATGTTTGTTGACTATGATCACATTTTATCAGACTTTTCTTAGAGGCTACATGATGAGTAGCTCCAGAATCCACTACCCACTCATCATCATTTATTACCTTAGACATCATACAGATAGCATTACCTGCTACATTAATGTGGTATCCTTCATTGCTTTGACCTTTTCCAACATCTTTACTCAACAGGCTAAGAATCTACTTGTATTGTTCTTCAGTAAAATACTGAGCCTTGACTTCAGCTGGCCCTGAATTTCTATAATGCATCTGTGGTGGTGGTGGCATACCAACATTCCGAGTTACATTGTTGATAACATTGAGTGGATGCTTCCTATATCCAGACTGACCACCATAGCTAGCTTGACCTCGAAATCATCCAAAATCGGGCTTTGAATTTCTTTTAGACTTAAAATCAGGAGGGTATCCAACAAGTTTGCAACAATTTCCTTTCTATGACCTTTCATATTACAGTACTCACATTGCAAAAACGGTCTCTTACCTTTGTAAGGCTGTCCACGATTAGTTGCATAGCTAAGGGATCTGTGTTTGCAGTAATTGCATTTATACCAACTGGGTGTTGGCTTTCATCTTCAATTATCATATCATATGCTTGATTAATCATAGGAAAAGTTGATTTTAGTAAAATCTATCTCCTGGCTTGGCCATACGAGTCATTCAATCCACTAAGAAACCGTAATAACCTTTGTTGATGACAGTGCTCAACTGACTCCTTAGACTTTTCACAGTCACAGCTGGGAGGAGGGACCATGGCATCATATTCATCCCAGAGGTCCTTCAATTTGGTGAAATAGACCGAGACAAAGTTTGTACCTTGTGAGTGATTAACAATTTAATGGTGTACTTGGAAGATTCTCATGTGATTGACCTTGTCAAATCACTCCTTGAGATCCTTCCACATAATGTACGAATCTAAGGCATACATGATTCCATTGAGTAGATCTTCAAAAACTATGTTGATAATCCACGAGAGGACCGTTGCATTGTATGTTTCCAATTGTTCATGCAACTCCTTATCAAACAATTCCTTCTTACAAGTACCTAACACAAACCCTAGCTTTCTCTTAACTTGATGAGCAATTCTCATCGATCTGCGCCACAAGCAATAATTCTTCGATCCGGTGAGTTTGATAGGAACAAGTACCGAACCAGGAGTATCAGTAGAATTCTTGAAAAGAGGATGTGTGTAAGTGAGTTTTTCTGCCGCCATAATTGAGAAAAACGAGCTCGGAGAGACAGAGATATA